TCCGCAACACGACAGCGAGGCCGACGTTGAGCAGGAGCACCTGCTGTAGCTGTAGCACGCGGCCCTCGGGCAGCCCAACACCGAATGCGGCCGCGTCGAAGCACTCCTGCCCGACGAACGACCCGTAGCTGGCGGACGACGGCGTCGAGTCGGCTTCGTCTTCCCACCGCGCGGCGGGGATGCTCGACGGAGCCACCGTCGAGCTGCAGATGAGCCCTCGTAGTCGCGTCAGCGTTCCCGCAGTGCCCGTCAGTCGCACTCGCCCGCGCAGGATCGACGGCTTCGGCCCGGAGGTAGACTTTCGCTCGACAACGGCCGTCGCCGGCCGTTGCGTTCGAGGCGCCGCGACCTCCAAGTGGGCCGCGATGGCGTCCAGGGTCGGATGGTCGAACACGAGAGTCGCGGGCGCCTCGATGCTCAGCTGGGCCGCGATCGCGTTCGTGAAGGCAGTGACGGTCAGCGAGTCCATGCCGGCCGACATGAGAGGCGCGTTCGGAGGGACGACCGTCCCCAGCAGGGCCGCCGCGCACGATGCGATCGTAGCGCGTGCGGGTAGCGGTGAGGCGATGCTCGCGGGTCGAATGACCTAATTCGGAGCGGCGCTGGCAGCGCTCATTTGACGGCGGGGTCGTAAGCTCAAGACCACCTGCAGAGTAGCGTCGCTCGGAAGCCACGGGGTGCGCTCCATAGGTGTTCCCGGCGACAAAACCTTGAGAGCTTGGGCTTGTGATGGCCACATCGCCATCTAACCCTCTGTTCCAAACTCTAATCATTGCAAACTCCTCTTTCGTGGCGCAAAGACTCGGTGCTCCGACCTTGAACGCGCGCGGGAGACAACACGAAAAGGGCGTCGAGGGTAGCCATGGATAACGGGAGACGATTGGTCTACCGCGGAGACAATTCTGCGAGTATTGCAAGCCAGGGCGCTCGGAAATGTAGTTGTTTGGGATCTCTCACTGAATAATCGCATGCCGGCAGATCAGTGCGTGACGCGTCGTAGACGCTGACTTTGGCGAAAGTGCGAGCTGGCAAGCGGGGGCTATACCGACGAGCGCACAGCGTCTGAGGCACAAACTCCGTGCGCGATGATGCCGCTCCAGCCGAAGGAGCTCACGCCCCCCAGACGCTCCACGCCCACTGTACCCGCCGCGTCGGTGCCCACGAACACGACGTCTTTCCTGCGGACCGAGCCGACTTGGCCGTTGAGCCTGCGCAGCTGCGCGTTTGCGACCCACGCCGTTCGAGTGATGAGCTCGACGATTCGGAGGACCCCGGCGACGCCCGCCGTCGATTCCATGTGGCCCACGTTCGCTTTCACAGCGACAACAGAAAGAGCGGACTTCTTGCTCGACGCGACCGCCGCTATCGCGCTCATCTCGATCGGATCGCCGAGAGCGGTGCCCGTCCCGTGCGCCTCGACGACGCCGGTACTCTCTGCTTTGCACGAGGCATCGCTCGAGGCGCGTCGGAGCAGGAGCTGCTGTGAAGCTCCATTCAGGGCCGTGAAGCTCGCGCTTCGACCGTTGTGCCGAGCCGAGGACCCGCGGAATCGAATCGTCGAGTCGCGACCGCCTGGTTTCATACTGATCGCGCCGCAGCCCTCGCCGCGAGCGTAGCCATCGGCGCGCGAGTCCATCGTGTGGCATCGGCCTCGCGCGGAGGTCATGCCCGCCAGCGCGGGACCCACGTGCGCGGCAGGCGCGAGGATGGCGTTCGGCCCGGCGACCACCGCGCCCGAGCACTCGCCATGCTGCAAGCTACGCCGGGCCAGGTGGACGGCGATCAGGCTCGAAGAGCATGCGGTGTCCACGACAACGCACGGCCCTCGCATCGCAAACGCGTACGACAGCCGAGCTCCGGCCGCGGAATATCCCACGCCCGTCAGGTCGTATGGACCCGGCTCAGCTGGGAGCTGGGACGCGGCGTCCATGTTCATCATGCCCGTGAAGCTGCCGACGTTCGATTCACCGAGCGAAGCCCGGCGGCTTCCTCCGCGATGAACGGCCTCGTAGCCGACCTCGAGCAGCATTCGCTGTTGCGGCTCGAGCGGAACCGCCTCGGCCGGCTTCATCCGGAAGAAGGCGCCATCGAACCAGGAGAGCTCGGCCGATAGGAACGACCCGTAGCCAGCGCGCGCGACCACGTCGGAGCTGAATCGCCTCGTCTCGACTCGATCCGCGTCCCATCTCGCGAGCGGCACAGATCCGCACGTCACGCATCCATCCTGCGAAAGGCCCCACAGGTCGCCCGCGGCGCAGCTCCGATCGCGCACGGGCAGGAGCGCAGCCGTCGAGGTGATCTCGAGCACCAGGGGATCCTCAGAG